ATCTGGCTGATTCCCCAATTTACATTGTTTTAGTGACAACTATACAACAAAATTCTCATAACTTCATATGCATTAATGATATACATATATGGATAGAGAAATAGAAAGAGAAATATACATATATGGATAGAGACTTTCAGCAGATCATAACCTTTCCCCTGATACCTTACAAGGCATGTGTTATATGCAAGATCACCATTTTATAAAAATGAGAAATATGGGGGTTACTCCAAGGTACAAAATGTCACAGCCCCTTTTGCGTGTTCCTCTAGCTGCCTTATGGCACGTCCACCAAGGCAGATGCTCTGGTTTTGTTCTTAACACATCCCCCAGTAACTTCCTTTACATGTATTTTTTTTTCCTTGCCAAAGAAATCCCTTGCTTAATTTAACATCACTGTGATCGATCAGTCCTTCAGCCCTCGTATAGCTGTAACGTATGTAATGTAATTCAATTTCAGAACTGGATGCCTTAGGTGATGAGCTATTAGTTGATGAGGACAGTTCCTATTTAGATGAAGCTGCATCTGCTCCAGCAATTCCAGAAGGCACTCCTACTGACGCAAAAAACAAGGTGGGCCTTTTCCCCTCTCATTTAATAAATGTACAGTAAAACTTGTTTTAATCAGTCACTCATGACACTGATAAAGCTGTTGCTTAATGGAAAGCCTTAAAGGTGGAGCAGAATTGTGCTTAGCATGTTTGGAGATGCTTAGGGTAGTCTCTTGTATAGATTTCACTTGTATGCTTTGGGAGGCCAACTTTACTGTACAAACTAATGTTGTCTTTCTGCTGTAAAAATCTATTTCCCCAGAAGGTACTGACTGTAGTTAGTTGAAAGGGCTGTCATAGTGTACTTAGCATTTTTACATGTTTTTTTTTCAAACAAATCTAAACCAGCATTTTCCATGTTCTTTCAACGTTTTTCACGTGGCTTTTGTATGTAAGCATATGTCAGCAGATTGATGTTCAATTTTCACTTTTTTGGACTATAATAAAATGGATAAGTGAGGTCGGCTACAGAAAATACTGATGCCCCTATTTGGTCTTGTAACTCCAAACTATAAAGTAATCTTAAAGGTTGTATACCTAATTGATTAAACTATATTTTTTTTCTTTTTTTCCCCATAGGATGGTGTATTGGTGGATGAATTTGGACTGCCACAGATCCCTGCTACATAAACATGCATTTTTAGAGCACATTGGAAATGGCAAGTTACTTCTTACAAATCAAATCAGCAAAACATTTTTTGAAATCCTGGAAAACTTGCTTTTTCAGTATAACCTTAATATCACTACATCTTAAAATGCAATATGAATGGCTGGTGGTGTTTCCTTTCTTGGAAGAAAGTTGATATACTACTGACTTTTCTATTGAGGAGAAAAATTGGCACAATTTCCTTCAGTGGATGCATTCAGTCTACTAGGTTTTGATTATCCAGTGTTTTATGGAAGAAGTAGTACATGAAAAATAGTGGTGGCTGTTAATAGTTGAGCTTTGTCTTGATTTGATTTGTATTATATTTCTGTTTTCTGAAACAAACTAAGGCTATGTGGCTGCTTACCTTCTGTAAGATAGCTTCCTTATTACTTACTGTACTGATTTAATAACAAATGGATGCATTTTTAAGAATACTTCAGTTCTGAGACTTGATATTGTATTTGTAACTCTTAATTACAGCTGTAACAAATAAATATATACAAAGGTTATCTTTAACCTTATGTATTCCATTTTGACATAAAAGTTTATACCATAGAGTAGCTTATCCTCTTGTGTGGTGTTTTTGGTAGCAGTTTTAACCTGTCCCTTGTTTTCATCATTCAGCATTTGAGCATGGGCCCTCCCTTAACATGCTTGGTCTAAAGCTGGAGGTTGGTCATGATCCTCAAATTTCTCCACCCTTTCATACAGCTCCCTTTTAATAACAATCAAAATAACATTTCTGTAAGGACATTGCTACTGCTGTGCTTCTCCTCTTGTCGTGAGTCAGGGCATTACAGCTTTCTCTGACCACTATTGCTCTGTAGATTGTCTAGCAAAAAGTGGTTATAGAACAAATGGCCATCTCCCTTTCTTTGGACCCATTGGCCAGAAGAGTGAGAGTACTCTCCAACTCAAATCTCTTCTACTGAAGATTGTATTGCCAAGTCTTGTAGCAGACTCTCTT